ACTGTATATATATTGAAGTCTAAAGATACAAAGAAAAACATATAACGTGTGTATTACAGATATAATTTGGTTTGGCTTGAAAGATTGGAAGACGAGGTGCAGCACGTGCAAGGGCTGAAGTCGGAGGTATCGGATCAGGAGGTTTTGGATTTGGAGGCCGGCCTCGGCGAGGTGGGTCTTGTGAAACCACAGGAAACTCAGACAGAACCGCTTCAGTCTGTCCACAGATACAGAATCAGTTTTGGAACCAACCTGGAGGAGAAAAAACTTTGAAGAACGGTTCAGGACCAAATAGGAACCTCTGTACAGCGAAGCTAGAGGAGGTTTAGAGGTATCTTCTCTAACAAATACATGAGAACAGGACAGTAACTTTGTAGGAATCTTGTTTTCTGCTCCTGGTTCAGGGTTGAGGACTGAATGGTGGGGCGGAGAAACTGGAATATTCTTCAAGATTTGCTGTATACGTTGGAGATATTCAACAGAAGGAACCTCAGGGATGTTGAGAAACTCACCAGGCAAAGTTAACGGAGTTCCGAAAAGGACCTCTGCTGCAGAAACTGCTGAATCATCTCTGGGAACATTACGGAGTCCAAGGAGAACTAGAGGGAGATGATGGAAACAGTCAAAACCTGCCAACCTAGCTCTCAAGGAAACTTTCAATTGGCGGTGAAAACGTTCCACAAGGCGTTAGACTGAGGATAAAAAGACGTAGTCGGAGAATGAACAATTCCAAGGAAAGAACACAGCTGAGACCAAATGGAGGATGTAAACTGTGATCCTCTGTCGGAGGTAATGACTGAGGAAATTCCAAAAAGTGGAATCCAGTGTCTTAGCATGGCTCTGGCATATTCTTCAGCTGTTATAGATTTGACGGGAACCGCCTCCGGCCATCTAGAAGTCCTGTCGACGATGGTGAAGAGGTATGAGAACCCATTAGACTTTGGCAACGGACCAACTAAATCTACATGAATATGAGTAAACCTTCTACCAGGCACAGGAATGTGATGGACAGGAGACTTGATATGTGATTGAACTTTACTACGCTGGCAGTCTAAAAAGCTCTGGGCCCAAAGGTTGACATCTCTAGAGAGAAACTCCCACACAAAACAGCGTGAGATCAGTCTTCTAGAAGCTTTTTTTCAGGATGGGATACTGAGTGAATAGTGTTAAAAACCAATCTTCTCATGGTTTCAGGAACCAGTGGACGGAGTATTCCTGTTGATGAGTCACACCATAGTACAGACCCGGAGAAAGGAACAGAAACTACAGTCAGGGCAGAGGAAAGGCGGAGATCTTGAACCTTTGGACAGGACTGTTGAAGAATTGACATTTCTTGATAGGAAATTCCGGGAACTGATGGCGGAGGTTGAGGCAGAGACCCTGCTGGAGAAGGAGAAGGTGGAGAGGACACCATCTGCT